ATGTTTTGAGAATGATGTACAAATGTGCTTTACACAATTGATGTGTGTATGGATTGGGATAACAGTTGTATGAGCCCCTAATAAAATGTTAAAATTAAAATTTAAAAAAAAAAAAAAAGATTGTTGTTAGGGGCCATTGCATTGGCCTTCCACTGAGGTCACCCCAGGCATAATGAATGGATCCTGCAAAAGTTTCATTGGTTACGTTTTCAGAAGTAGACCACCACATCTGGGGGGCCTCGGTCGGAAGCACTGCGGGGACTTGGGCAGCAATTCCTGTAATAAGAATATAACACCCAGAGCAGCTTATTTCTAAGTGCTCTGGGAGCATCATGCTTAGATCTTACTGGCACGTGTTCTTAGACTGCTTCCACAAACGTTCACCAATGAGACGCAGATGTTGCTTAACTGTTCATCAATTTTCTGTTTCAATTATATCAAAGATGTACAAAAATTTCTGAAAAATAATCTCCTTCCGTATCAAAAACATCTCAAGTCCCCTTTGTAAATTGTTTTAGTAAAACAAATCTAACTATATGTTTACGTCTTTCACTTAGTTTGGGAACTGGACAATTGTTGCCTTCAGTTATACTCTCTGATCTGTGAAGCATGTGGCCTCAGCAAGAAAGGGAAATTCTCAAATCTAAGAACTCTTCATCAAAATGCTCAAATTCCTTATTTGAGGGCTTATTGTGTCTTTATTTCAGGGTCAAATGACAAATAACCCCCCTCGAAGTAAATCTCACACAAAAATCCACAAAATAAAATGATAACATATGGAACCTCCATTAACTGACAGGACTGAGGGAGTAATTACAGCCTTGTGACCACACAGCAAAGCCACACTGTGCATAATCACAGTGTTCACGCTTTTCCCACACAACGCTTGAGAAACTTTAGGTTAGGTTTGTCAAGGAAGTGCAGGCAAAGGACATGCCTATCATCATCTCCTGGAAATTCTTCGTGAAGAATTTCGGATCAGCAAATTTTCTGATCATGTCATCGGAAGCCCTTTCTCATTTTGGTGTCAACCATGATACTCCAGGGTGCAATGCTCAAAACTAAAATGATGTTCATCTTCCCGTCACAGATTCAAGAAGGCAGTGCAGCCAGGTGGCTTGTTTCCCACTGCATGCCGCTGGACCAGCTAACTACCTAACTCAGTTTTCTCATTGCAAACACAGAGTTTGTCCATACGCTAGTTAGGAGATGAGCGAAGATCAGAACTGTAAGGCACATATTATTTTATCGAAGTATTATTCATCTCAGAACACCATCAGTGGTTGAGAGGACACCGGTAGAAGGAAGACTACTTGGAATCGGATCCCAACATCACATTAGTTTTTACCAGAGCATCACCTAGGTTGGTTCCAGCTATAACGGCGATGCTAAAGTTGGAAAGTTTCATTCGTGGCTACACCAAGCAAACTTGCCAGTTAAGTAGTTTAAAGTCATTCCTTCCAAAAACCTGCAGGAGCTTTTCTTTTTCCATGGCACACACCACGGCTTCCCAACAGTTCTGTTTTTCAGAGGGCTTCCAACTGAGGAGTAGGTTGCTTTGGAAATATTTCAGAATATTTGGCAACAAATTATTTAGTGCGTAGATTTCTCTGCAGGTTCTTTTAGAAGCTAAAGGCAATGCCACACAGTAGGATTTTTACCTACTTGCCTCACAGTAAAAACACTGTCCTGAAAAGTATGATGGGCACAGTCTGTGAGTTTATAGTTAATAGAATTGTCTTACCGCAAACACGAGTTTTATCATATATCCAAATAAACAACGCAGGCCAATGCCACATCTTCATATCCCTGCTTCCTCCTGTGTGAGGTGGATCAGACAGCAGTACCTTCCTTCATGTGGTACTCACGAGATGGATCGAAACCACAGCCACAATCCTGGGTTTAAACAGACCGAAGATCACGAGAACAGTGCAGGACTGGGCAACAGTTCATTCTACTATACGCAGGTCACCAAGGCCAGCATGAGCTGGAATGACGTGGATTAGACACTGCTTTGGTGTAGACTCCGAGTCACTGTGTAGGACAGGGCAGACGTGCCTATGAGTCGTCATCGATTCCACGGCAGTGAGCTTGGTGGCTTTTTTGGTTAGAATAGAAGATCCCTAACTAAAACCAAACCCACTGCCATGGGGTCCATTCTGACTCATAGTGACCCCATGGACAGGTAGAACTACACCAGAGAACTACCCCTATGAGTTTTCAAGACTGTAAATCATTTACAGAGGCAGAAAACCTCATCTTTCTCCCATGGAGCAGCTGGTGGGTTCAAACTGCTGACTTCATGGTTAATAACTCAATGTTTAACCCACAAGTACCACCTGAGCTCACAGTGCAAATGCTGTGCATGCAACGATTAACCTACATCCTAGGGGTTTGAACCCACCTCGTGACACTGCAGAAGAAAGTGCTAGCCATCTGCTTCCATCAAGGTCACAGCCAAGCACATCCTACAGGGCCATTTGATTCGGTAACCTGTGGCATGGCCATGAGTCAGATTTGACTGGAAGGCAATAGCTTTGGCTTGTTTATTTGTTGTCTTAGGATGCAGTTCAGAAAGTGCTCCTCCATCACCTATTTTTTTCTACCAGAATACTAAAGTCCATCCAACTGAGAGGAAGTACGCTAGGACACCAGGCGGAAACCCTCACAACTTCATCACTCTAAGGAAGTTATTTTTAAAATAAGTACAATGCGCTGTGTGTTCATAACCTTCAGATGTTTGAACAGTCTAAAAATATAAAATATTTTGACAAATATGATATATTTGATGCCAAGATATTTCTTTTTCCTACTCCATGCCCATTTATAATGTTCAGGCTAAGTCATCCAGGTCACTGAGCACATCTGAACGGAAGGCTTCAACTCCATGGCTATTTCTTTAGGAACACCATAGTACAGCTCTTAGTTGTTTAGGAGACATACCCAGCAGCGGTATTGCTGGATCATGTGAAATTTCTACTCCGCATTGTTTGAGGTAGCAGTCATATCACTTTCCACAATGATTAGATGTATTTCTGAGTTTTACAATGAACAGAAGGATGGAAATGCTGGGAGAAAACAAGGAAAGAAACCCTAGGCTATTAAGCAGGAATGAATCAATACAGCGAAAATCCTAGTTTGAACGTTTAGCCTCCAGAACTGGGAGAAAATATATTTCTGTTCTTGAAATGCACCCGCCTGTATTTGTGTTACATGCTAACTACTTGTTTTCTTTCAAGCAGATGACAAAAGTGAGATTTAGCAGTTTAAGTAACTCACCCCATGGCCTTCGGTATTCGTTTAGGATTGCTTTTGATTCCAGGTTGGTTTGACATCAGGCAAGATTCTTAACCCCACATCTCACTTCCTGTCTCCCACGAGCGAGCGGCTACCAGTGCTTCAATCCGAGGGCTTTTGATGAGGATGTGACCTTACAGCTGCCTGTGAAGTGATTTTTTACTACTCAAATCCTCTGTCCTTACTCCCACTTCCTTATACCCTGCTGCGAGGCTGCTCGCCAGCTTCCATTTGTGTGCACAAATGACATTTTATGTCTAAACCAAGTTAATCTTCCATTCCACACTTCCTCCATGCTCTTCATAGAACCACTATTTTTTGCCACTGGATCAACTGGAAGCCATCCTTTGCCTTCCTCTCTCCATTTTCTCTCCAAAGACCTATCCCTTTTCTTAGGCAACATTTCATTGCTATGCAGTTTTATAAGCAGATCTCCATTTATGCCACCACTGTGTGCTAGCATCGGACATCAACACAAGTCCCTCGGTGATGCAAATGGTTAAGAATTTCATCTGCTAACCATACTGCTGAAGATTGAATCAAGCCAAAGATACTAAAGAAAAAAGACATCATGGTCTACTTCTGGAAGTCAGTCATTGCAGAGCAGGGTTCTACTCTGGTACACAACAGGGGTTGCCATGAGTTGGTGGTGACTTGGTGTCAACTGATTCCGTCTTTGCTCCTTTTGACATCAATCAACACCACATGTTGACATAATCAATACAACGCAGGTCAGGTCCTCCTTTCTAGTCTAGTATCTGTAAACTTTTGTGAGATGGGTTATGGTACCAATGACAGCTTTTCAGGAAAGTATCATAAAACAGAGTGGAGCCCTGGTGGCATAGTGGTTACACACTGGGCAGCTAACTGCAAAGTCACCAGTTCAAAACCACCAGCTTCGCCTTGGGAGAAAGATGCGGCTTTGTAAACTCATAACAAGGTACACTTTTGGAAACCCACAAGGGCGTCCTACTCTGTCCTATAGGGTCATTATGATGCAGGATTGACTCAATGGCAGTGGATTTGTTTTTGTTGTTTTTATCATAAAATATGTCTAACTTTTCATGTGAGCTACTATGATTCACTCATTAATGAATTTAGCTAAATGAAACGATATATATCTTAGATAAGTCTTTTATACCATCTCCTCCAGAAAGCAGGCCCTGAAGTTTACTCTTTAACATAAAACCTCTAAAGACTAATTTCATCTTCAGGGCACTATGATAGCCATCCCATGAAATATCATTCTATTAGCAAAGAAAATAAAAATTTCTGATACTTTTAACCACGTCTTTCTCTCTACTCTTTCTTGCTATTTTTCTCTGACATCCAACAAGAAAATAATGATTCTGCCAAAGAATGTTGCTGGTGCAGCAAAAGACTCTACAAGACAGACTGGATTTACAGTGTGTTTCAATGCTTTAGATGCAGTATAAAAATGAGATGCGTAGATGCTAAAAAGGCTCAAGAGAACTATAGAGGGTAATAATTTGCCGTCAGTAAAGCCATAATTTGGCTTGGTGACTTGATCAAAAGGAAAATTCAATTAATTGGATGAGTATACATGGAATGATGTTTCATTACTCCACAAAAACATTGTTTCCATTTCTCTCTCTTTTTTTTAAAATTTGAAGATCATTTTATTGGGGGCTGTTACAGCTCTTATAACAATCCTTACATCAATGGTATCAAGCATATTTGTACATATGTTGCCATCGATATTTTCTAGACATTTACTTTCTATTGAGCTCTTGGTATCAGCACCTCTTTTTCCCCTCCCTCCCCATCCCTACCCTCGGGACCCCTTGATAAATTACAAATTATTATTATTTTCGTATCTTACACCGACTGCTGTCTCCCTTCCCTCTCCCTGGGAGGGGGTGTGTGGTGCAGTTGTGTGTTGACCATCGCGATCGGTTCCCCCTTCCTCCCCTCCTCTCCCCACCATCCCGATCCCCTTGGTATCGCTATTCCATTCCTGTTCTTGGATCTGTGTCATGTATTTCTTCAACTCAAACATCCTTTCACGTTCTTAGTGCTTAAACACTCACCAATGATAAAAATTTACTTTTTGCTGCCTTTACATTCTCCGACATTTTTATCCGTACTTCTGCTGGTCCTCGGTTTTGTCGCACACATCATAGTTCCTTGGCATCAAAATCCTTGAGCACTTTCCAAAGTTCCTCTTATGAATCATGATTCCATTCAGAATACCACCGTCTTGGTTTGTAAAACAATGACACATCGATGTCATTAACCAGGCACTGCTTTCTCTAGACTTCATCCAATCCTGCCAGTAGTCAGGACCGATCTTTCCATGCCCTCCTTCCCTTTTTCCTTTCTTCTCTCCCTGGCCAGATAATAAACATCAGCAATTTTTGTTGCTCTAGCCTCAAAATATATTCAGAATCCAGCCATTTCCGCCACCACTCGCCAAGCTGAAGCCACAATATATCTTGTCTGCATTCCCGCAATAGCCTCCCAACCAGTCTCCCTGCCTTCACCCTTGACCCCCCCCCAAGCCAGACTGATCCTCTTCCAGTCTAATCCAGGTCACGCCACAGCTCTGCTTCAAACCCTCCAATGATAAAAGGCAAAGATGATTTGTGGTTACCAGGGTGGAAGGAAGTGGGGGAGTGAGGGGGTGGGGCAAGCCCTGCCTAAGAGACATTGAGTTTATGTTAACGGTGATAACATCATTTGAAAAAGACAACAGTGAGAACAGTTGCACAACTTGGAGAATACAATCAACATCACTGAGTGGAACATGCAGAAATTGTTGAGACGCTGTATATTATGTTTTGCAGATTTTCACCACACTAAACAAACAAACAAACAAACAAAGCCCTGCAGCAATGCCTTCTCAACTCCTTCAGCATAGAAACTAATGTCCTGACCAATGCTTCACACACCCAACATGGTCTGGTCTCGTAACTACTCTGCCTGCGGTTCTTGTATAACCCAGCAGTGGTACCAACTCAGTCCCTGGCACTTGTTTTCCCTTCTGCTAGATAAGGCAAACCAAAGAAGAATGGAGTCATTTGAATGAGGGTGCTGATGACGAATATTGCAAGTACCTGGATTGCTAAAAGAACAAACACCTTAGAAGTACAGCCAGATGGCTCCTTAGAAGCAAGGATGGCTAGGCTCAGTTTTACATACTTGGACATGTCAGGAGAGACTAGTCCCTGGAGAGTGACATCCGGCTTGGTAATAGACCCGGGCAGCAAGAGAGAGGAAGGTCTTCGCCAGGAGGCCTGCATCAATGGGCTCAAGTAGAAGAGCCATTGTGAAGGATGGCGCAGGGCTGGGCAGGGTTTCCTTCGATTGTACCTGACTTGCCCACCTAACAGAAGACTGCTCCTCAGAGAGCCACCCGGCTTGCTCCCCGCCTCCCTCTCCCCGCCCTCCTTAACTGTCAGCTCCGAGGCAGCTTCCTGAGCGAAGGCTGCACCATCATCTTAGTGAAATTACATTGTTAGCACCGTTCCCTCA